TCCCTCACCTGTTTCCAATCTGTAGATCTAAGTATTTAATGTCCTATGCCCACAGGTGCAGTATCTGGCACAGCACTCAGACTGGATTCAAGGGGTCAAGTTTTTAAGGGTAAGTGCACCCACAACACCTGCAGGTTTAGTTAGGCATGACTAGAAAGGGGATAGGACAGAGCTAAGCAGCATAATTACATGAGACATCCACAGGAGAGAAATGGCACAGCTTCCAGACCATGCCACGAGTGCATCTGGAAAGGCAGAGGGCATGGCATTGCTCTCCAAAAACATCTACTGAAGGTAGGGCCTGGTGCTTTACTGCAGAGACATTATAGTGAAGCCTCAGCCCATATTGGAGGTTACAGTGGCACAACCTGAAGATAAAGAACCCATCCAAAACCAGGTTTACAGCATTATGAAATAGTGGCCTTACCCTTGAGCCCATACACATTTTCAAGGCCTGTACTAATAAACTCCTTCCCTAACTGTAAGGAAAGAATTCCTACAGGAAACAGGAGTTACATCTACCTTGACAGGGACAGAACCCACTGAAACCTGCTTGTCCAGCCACCACTTATTGCTCTACATCTACGCAGACACCCCTGCCAGGTGCACAAACCCACCTGCCCCAGGTCTCACCTTCCATGGCTGCCTGCAGGGCGTTGATGGGGTCGATCTCAGTGATGATGACCCTGGCCCCAAAGCCCCGCAGGGCCTGGGCGCAGCCCTTGCCCACGTCACCGTAACCGGCCACCACCGCCACCTTCCCCGCGATCATCACGTCCGTGGCGCGCTTGATGCCATCGATCAGGGACTCCCTGCAGCCATACAGGTTATCGAACTTGCTCTGGGGGGAGGAAAAGAGCAGCTTCAGAACAGATGAAAGTCACTCAAGGAAAAATTCCTTAAGAGAAACCGCATGGACTTCCATGCAAGCCCTCCAAACCAGGAGGCCAGCACCCAGCCAGCTACCTGAGCCACAGGGAGGGGTGGGAAGATGATGACCTGGTTTGACATTTTTATGTATCCAGTTTCAATCTACATAGTTAGATGAGACACAGCAGCACTCACCTGGTGAGAAGCATTTCATAAATAAGTTGTCTACCAACTCGGGCTTGGACACGTTCAAAGCTTGTTAGAGGTAACCTGAATTCGTCAAGGGAAAGCATCACCAATTCTTATGTACAGAGGTAGGTCTAAGCTCCTTAACCAGATGTTCACCAGTTCTCTGTTGCTGTTTGTCAGACAACAAACTGAACGAAGTGCCACAGGTAGGCAAAAAACACCAGCAGAATACCTGGCCAATTGCTTAGCACATATTCTTATCCTTGCAGGACCTACACCCTGCAGCAGCAACAAGTTGCCCACATCAACTATAAGAAATTAGGTCCTGCAGCCCAGAAGGATGAAAACTGGGTCTTCCCCCAGGAAAAGTGATGTGAACATTGCCAGACCTCACCAGTGCTCAGATCTGCAAAAATCCAGCAAGCAGCCATTCACAGTAACAGTTACTGCAACCAGGAACCCCTGGATTTCATCTCCTAATGCCCCATTGAAAACAACTTCCTCCTGTTCTCACATGAACACGAGATCAACAGCCAGATCTCCAAGTCAAAACACCCTTCCTAAGTCAGAAGTCAAATAGTGCTCCACTTGAACACCTTCCTAAACTCAAACACATACTGCTGTACTGATTTTTGTAATGCTTCTTTTTTGCCTTGGGCCCTTTGTTTTGACCAGGAGGATGAGCAGATTTGATAATATGAAGAGTTACAAAAGCCAATAATTTTTAAAAAATCTCACTCCCAAAGCTGTGCTTCCCAAGGCAGGGGTATAAAGTACTCACCATTAACAGCAAAACTCTGGTCTCAAAGCCTGCCCTGTGCTTTCTGTAGCCTTAGGTCACCAAAGACTCTTGGTTTACTCAGCACAAGCAGCACTCTGCTATAAGCAACCTCCAGATTGCATGGCTGCATGTGAGATGGGACACTCATAGAGCCATAGAACTATTCAGGTTGGAAAAGGCCCTTGGGATCACCCAGTCCAACCATCATCCCTACTCTACAAAGGTCTCCCCTAAACCATCTCCACCAACACCACATCCAAACAACCCTTCAACACACCCAGGGATGGTGACTCCACCACCTCCCTGGGCAGCCTGGTCCAGGGTCTGACCACTCTTGCTGGGAAATATCTTTTCCTAATGTCCAGTCTGAACCTGCCCTGTTGCAGCTTGAAGCCATTCCCTCATCTTCCAGATGAGACCTACCACACAGCTAAGGCTGCTGCCATCTAGCAAATGTAAAATGATGCTGCTGTTTGGTTTCCAGTCCAGGAAAACAGATCACAACTGTAAAACATTTCTAATGAATAAATACAAAGTCCATGTAGAACAGTATTGCAGCTGGAACTCCAAGGCATTGCAGGAACACTTCACCAGGTCCAGTGGCTCATCAGTCCCAGCCTCAGAAGCTGGTCAAGGACTAACATGTAAGCAGTTGCACTTCAGTTCCAAAAGTTCCTGTCTCAACACAGGCACATTTGCCATTAATATTTCAGAAAATGTGTTACCAGTCCTTCAAATTCCAAAGCTAGTCTTGGTTGACAATCCTCCTTTCTAGTCCTCCAGCAGGCTTCCTTGCAGTATAAGCCTTCTTAAGGACAAAAACAGCAGGGTGAGATTTTACCCCTCATCACCAAATTCCAATCCAAGCTTTCCAGGTGTCTGTGCATTCCCAAGCAGGCAGGGTAGCAGAGTAGTGCTGGATGCAGACACCTGACCCACCCAAAAATACATCTGAGTGGCAGGGGGAAAGAAGACAAATGGATGCTGCCTGCCTTCTCTCTCCAAATAGTAGTATAGGAACCTGGTATCAAGTGAAGCTATCAAACTGAGAGTGCAGAGTTTGGCAGCTCAGCTGCATGTATTCCTGGAGATCTGTAACTGTGGATAGTACAAATCTTTTACTACATAAATACTAAGCAACATTTGAAAATAAGAAGTTGTTTGGCACTAGAAGAAAGTGAGCTTGATCCAAATCCACTCAAGAGGCTTTTTTAGAAACACCTGAATTGCCAAATCTACCCAACAGTATTAATATTAATTATGCAGGAGGCACAAATCTAGGTGAAAAGGATGCAGAGAAACAAGCTTCTTCCAAGAGCAACCGGATTCCAGCCCACTAGGTATGATACAAAAATGCCAGATGCATCTCTGCAGCAAAACGACACTCTTCAGACAGCAAACTGCAGAGAAAGGAGGCCAGCAGTGAGAACTGCCATGTCCAATAGGATAATGGCCTGAGAAGAGCCCTGTGAAGGACCTGGGGGTGGTAGTAGATGAAAAGCTCAACACATGTTGGAAATGTGCTCTTGCAGCTCAGAAACCAACTGAAGCCTGAGCTGCATTGAAAGAAGGGTGGCCAGGAGGTCAAGGGAGATGATTCTGCCCCTCTGCTCTGGTGACATCCCACGTGGAGAACTGTGTCCAGAATAAGGAGAAGGGAATGAGCAAGGTTTCTGCTCAGCAAGGGCTCTTCAAAGCCTGGGCCTCTTGGGGTCCTTGCAGTCCAAGATTGGAGGTTTGGTTCAGAGTTCAGAGCACGAGAAGCTCAACATGTGCTGGCAACGTGCCCTGGAGCCCAGAACCCACCCGTGCCCTGGGCTGCATCCCCAGCAGAGTGACCAGCAGGGCCAGGGAGGGGATTCTCTCCTTTTACTCTGCTCTTGTGAGACCACACCTGGAGAACTGTGCCCAGTGCTGGAGTCCACAACATAAGGAAATAGAGCTCCTGGAGAGAGTCCAGAGGAGGCCACAGAAATGATGGGAGGGCTGGAGCAGCTCTGCTCTGGAGCCAGGCTGGGAGTTGGGGTGTTCAGCCTGGAGAAGAGAAGGCTCCAGGGAGACCTTAGAGCACCTTCCAGTGCCTGAAGGGGCTCCAGGAAAGCTGGGGAGGGACTTGGGACAAGGGCAGGGAGGGAGAGGACAAAGGGGAATGGATTAAAACTGGAGGAGGGAGATTGAGGTGAGACATGAGGAGGAAATTCTTTGGTGTGAGGGTGGTGAGAGCCTGGCCCAGGTTGCCCAGGGAAGCTGTGGCTGCCCCACCCCTGGCAGTGTTGAAGGGCAGGTTGGATGGGGCTTGGAGCAACGTGGGCTGGTGAGAGGTGTCCCTGCCCATGCAGGGGGTTGGAACTGGATGAGCTTAAAAGGTCCCTTCCAGTCTTAACCATTCTACCATACTATGCACCAAAGTGGTCAGACAGCAGAACATCTCTAGCTGCATTACCTTGGTGACAGAGTCATTGACATTGATAGCTGGCACTTTCAGGGTCCCATTGGCCTTCATCTTGTACAGGTTGTGAACTCCAGTTGTTGTCTCTTCTGAAATACCTCTAATTCCTGTGGGGAGAGTAAAAGGATTTACTTCAGTTGGTGTTACTGTTGCTGCAAACCAACACATCCAGGTGCTGGGCACATCCTCCAGAGGCTTCAGTTAAACAAACCCTTTGTAGGAAGCTGGAAAGAGATTAGAACCTTCACTTGGATCCTCAAACACTAGTTTGAAGCTTCAAACCAGTTTCTTCCCCCCATGGCAATTAAAAGAGCAGGACAAAATATTCTTTGGTAAAATGGAATAGGTCCAGACCAGGGAATCAGGAAAGACCCCACTAATCTATCCTCTCACAAAATTATCAAAAAACTCTTCTGCAAAAAGGGCAAGATGTTCACCTCAGTGATGTTTCTACAGCCTAGCCCATTCTTGCAAGGTGACTTGAAAGGAGATGACACCTAGATAACCACACTTAAACCTAAAGCACTTAGATCCACTAAAAAAGTAAAAAAAAAAAAAAAAAACAGTTCACTATTCCCAGTCCTCCCATTGTGATCAACTTCACCACTGAATACACAGCCAAGAGCCCCCCTAAAATCTGGGTATAGCTACATGAAGCTTCAGTGTCATGGCTATCACCAGCACAATCAAACATGATTTCAAATATACCCTTGCTTGAGAACAGTCCAAAAGGCAGAGACCAGAGACAAAGGACTGTCTAGAAACACCATCATCACAAAATGGACTAAGATCCTGATAACACAGGAACTGTTGTGAGGTTACCTGGCTCCATGTTGCACCAAAAGCCAAAGTTGTAAAAGCAGCCCCTGCTTTGAGGGTCCTGAACCTTCATGGACCTTTTGACAGCAGCCAGTTGTTCACAAGTGGCATCACTGCCTACAATTTCTGGATCTCTCTCCTCTCTCATGCCTCACTAATACCTCACTGTACATAATCTGTATAATTGCTACACTGGGCAACACCTTGATTATTTTGAAAGCCTATCTGCCTGAAAAGGCATGAAAATTATGATAAACAGAATAAATCTGAAACTAAACTATCCAGTCCAATTGAATTTCCACTGTAGAGGATATTGTAATTGTGTTTGTTCTTTAAGGACTGAAGACATCCCACAAAGAATTATTTCGTTGAAATACAAACTTCTGGGGAAAACCAGAAGTTTGCTAAATCAGGCTGAAACCACCAACACAAGCAACATCTCTAGAGATCCATGTGGCACTTGGAGCTAAACCAGATTGACAAGAAAAAAAAATGAAAATCATTAATACCAAATGTTATGTACAACAGAGATTAATGGAAAGACATTGCCTCTCCAGGCAAGAGCCCTTGTAGAATAAAATGGAGAGAATGGTAGTAAGCAAAATAATTTTACAGTAATTTTGATAGAAAAACTGAGATCTAAGAACACTAGATTGTTCTGTTCAGGCCCTTTTACTGATGAAGAAAGGGACAGCCCAGGTTACTCTACATGGAAACAGAAATATTGCTCCTTTTCTTGTCACTTTTAATACTTCTCCCTCATTGTATAACATATAAGAACTCCAAATTCCCACATAATTTCTTTTTTAAGTCACACTATCCACAGCCCTCCTAGTATTTCAGAAAGGTGATCACTCCCCTTCCTATTTCACAGCTAGCAAAGGCAGAGGGACCAAAGGACTAGCCCAAGATGACCACCCAGGCTCCTCAACCCACACACACACACCTCTTCAGTGGCCCATGTTAGGGATGGGCAAGTGGAAGACAACAAGAATAAATATTTTGGGGGTTGCTGCTGGGATTTTGTAGCCTGTTAATTCTTGGTATGGAAGTGTTCAGGTTTCACTACCTCCCCAAGCAGCAGGATCTGCCAGAAGTGTGGAGGACAGGATGAGCAGCTGGAGAAGCACCTCTGCAAAGGGCTGGTCCTGGCTGGGAGCTGCAGCCTCAGCACAGCCCAAAGGGAAGAGGCAGAACGAGCACGTGGCCCCACAGCTCCCCTAGAGGGTTCATGGAATCACGGGATGGTTTTAGGGTGGAAGGGACCTTAGAGATCATCCACTGCTCAGCCATGGCCTGCCGCCTTCAGAATTTTTCCCCACAGCTTCTTCTTCAAGCAGTAAGAGTCAGAGGAGAGCTGATCCAGCAGGCTCCTACTGCAATTTCACCTCTACAGACCAAGAATGAGCACCAGCACAACCCACTGTATCAGTTTAGTTTCCATCTCATATCACAACCCAATTTTCTTTGCATCCCAGATCAAACACAGCCTTTAGCAACACAGGGCAGCTGTGGCTTGCAGCAGCACAGAGGATGAACACTGCCAGAGCTAAGGAGAATGTGTCCCATTTGCCAGGCACAGATCAGTCTGCTATTGCAGGTCATGCCAAATTCCCTTCAGGTAAATCTTTTTACCTCAGTATGTGCTAGCAACACCTCATTCATCTGTTCTCAGTTTTACCAGCTTACACTGAAGGTAAGGACTCAAATAAGGAAGAGTCTCAGCCCTGACTCCATCAGGATCTCTGCTAAACATCAACTGGATGAGTTAATGCCTTGTAGCTGATGCAAGGCAGAAAACTGTTCCCTTTCCAAGAAAAACTACAGGTTGTCCTAACTTCATCCAGAGGTGCACTAAGATCATGGGGAAGAAAAAGCATTACATGTTAAAAATACTAATTCCAAGCAGACATTAAGCAATTCTGTAACACAGAGAATTTCAGAAGGCCTTTGGCAAGTGGCAGTACCACTGGTCATCATTCTCAGGTAACGGGCACTGTGAAGGATGGCCAGGAGGACAGGTCACTGTAGCTTATATACCACAGAACAGAGATGGAAATAGCTCCTGCAGGTAAGAGATTCTGGTCTTGGACTGCAAGCAGTGTTCAGACTCATTCATAGCCTGTTTGCACCTCCCTGTCCCTCCTCCCCAGCCCCTCTGACCAAGCAGGGAACTCCCACAGAAACAGATTGACTAAACAGCCTCCCAACCAGAACTGTGCCTGCCAAAAGAAAACACAAGTCACCTTTCAAGAGCTGTGGGTATTTGGTATGAACGAGGTTGGTAAGATCTCCACCATCATCCAAAATCATGTTGAGGGGCTGCCCATCCTTGAAGTACAAGGTCTGCTCAATGCACCACAGATATTCCTCGTCGGTCTCCCCTTTCCAGGCAAACACTACATGGGAACAAACACACATAATTAGCCAGTTTCTTACTCAGCATGTAGTAAAGCAGCCAAAGGAAGATTTCATCAGCAGCTCTAAGCAGCAGAGCTGACAGACAGATCATTATCTGGGCCTGCAGGCCAGAAAAGGCATTTGCATTGAAAAAAATTATCTCAGAAATGGAACCACTTTGCCTTCTGTTACAGGCCATGAACTCAGTCCAAATTTTGAAACTTCATTGCTCTCTATTTGTTTTCCATGTAAAGAAGGAGAAGACAAAGCAAACTAAAGCAGACTCACATCTGTAACACTCCACTTGCACCCCTAATACATCCTGTGTTACCAGGAGTTACAAATAGTCAGTGATATACTAACAAAAAAACAACTACAGAATTTTCTAGCACAGCAAAAGGAAGGGACTAGACTTTAGCATGAGCTACAAACTCTTCAACAACTTTTCAGTTTACATTCTAGTCCTTAGCACTGTGCTGAAATCCAAGTTGCCATGCTTTGTCTGCTCTTATTAGGCCATATTTCTGTATCAGAATATCTATCACACTGCAACCCTTAACTTGTTGCATCTAGCAGCATTTTTGCCTCTCCAGACATTTGCACTGGCTTCATGCTATACTTGAACCCCAGTGGTGCTCAGCCACTCCAACATGTATTAGGCATTTGATTTACAGGCCCCAGCACTTGGCTACATTGTCATGTTTTCATTCCTTACATAGAAAACTAACTCTCGAGCCATGGAGAGTCAATCATGCAAATGCCTCTTCTGAAGAAACGTGCATCAGTATCTCCTGCTGTACCCAAGTGATCAGCATTCCTCCAAGGTTTTGGAAGCTCAGTATTTGACATGCAATTTTAACAAAAGGAGGCATGTTCTGTGAAACAAGGATACCGAGGGCAGAGGACAAACTTAGTCCTAAGTGCTCCACCCATAAACTGGTCTTCAGCTGAGTTTTGGGTGTTGAGAGCAATGGGGAAGGCAATATCCTAACATCAGATCTAGAGAGTCCTGCCTGGCACTTTGACATCATCTGCCAGAGACAGGCAGAGCAGGTTTTCCCCACAGAGGGAAAGACCTGGGGAATAGCTAATCACAACAGAAATTAAAGACACATCCCAAAGCAAAGAACCAGGCTGCCAGAAATCACATTTAGCATCTGCCAACATGGGGTTCAGGTCATGCAGTTCCCAGCACAGAGCCATAAAGACTGCATCCTTAAGCAAACAGCTTCATGCACTCATACTGCTCTGCAAGGACTTGCTCTTTATCAGGTAACAGAAACAAAACAGCAGCATCCTGATAAACTGCTTCAGGGCTATTAGGCAGCAACACAGCTGGCCTAGTTCTAGCCTTAAAGTAACATTGAATGTTGGCCCTATCACTGTAACAGGGCACACTGCAGTTAACATCCCTTCCTCACCTCTACTTAGCACCAAGCTTGCTGGAAAGCACCACACACCACACTCTACATGCACCTACACACCAATCCATTTAATTACCCAGCCCATTCAACGAGCTTAATTACCAGGCTTAAAGCTGGTAACCTACAGCCAAGGCCCTTTCACAGCCTAACACCAGCCATTGTCAGGGTGCTGTGCAGAGTCTGATGCAATACAGCTCGAATCAGATGTCCTGTTTTGTAACAACCACTGCTTTTGATGGGCTATTTCTATCCTGAAGCTTGTTCAGAAGAGCTTGATTTGTACAGAGTTTGATTTAGCTAGAACAGGCAGTACAACCCACCTCAGTGCCAAATTAAAGGTGGAAAACTTACCAGGGATACCAGCTTTTGCAATAGCAGCTGCAGCGTGGTCCTGAGTGGAGAAAATGTTGCAGCTTGACCATTGTACCTGGAAAAGAACCCAAGTTTTGTTTGCTGAGCAAAGTCCTGAGATATGAGGCACACTCTCTGCCAGACACAGGAGTTAAAAAGGGAGCAAGAGCTGAAATGCATATTAGTGCAGATTCCTGCCTTTCTTAGTAGCTCTGCAAAGTTAAGGTGAAAACTAATTATCTGAGGCCAGGGAAAATCATGTCACTTTGAGAGAGAAGGTAACAAGAGCTTTAGCTGTGCCACATATTTAGCCATCTCTTTACTCATGAGAGCTTCTGCCAGGCAGCCAGAGCCAGCTCAGCTATGGATCCTCAGGAAGTGCACAGTAGGGTGAGTTTAGAAAGTTTTGGTCAATGAAGTTCAGCTTTTCAGAACAGCCACGGAGCAAGTGTCCCCTGAGGGATGTGGACAAGCAGCAAAACACCTGGTGGCACTCAGAAGACTCAGAAATGCAGCTGAAACACTACCCTCCAATAGCATTCTCCAATACAATGCTCACCCAACTCCCACTCTGTGCTCCAGTCATGGAAACTTTTCCAGCTGAGCTAAGTGTTTTCCACACAGATTTCATAACTAGGCTCAGGCCCCTGGAAAAGCAACAACACGTTGCTGAGTTGCATTGAAAAGTATCTGCATCCCTCCCGCAGCCCCCCAGGGGGCACAGAAACCACCACATCCCAGAACCACACATGAATTCTCACTTTGCTCCCTCCAGGGCTGACTGGCAGGTATTTGCATGTTTATTTGTAACAGACCTGGAGAAGAGAGGGCAACAAGGCATCACCCTTCAGCCAGTTTTCAGATACTCTTGTTAAGAACTGACACTTCAAAGTAAGGGCTGCAGTAGGAAACAACTCATCTGAGTCTACCAACCAACACCTGTCAATGAAAACATGCTTGAAAGGAGCACAGGGAAACAGAACTTGTGACCTTAAGCACTGCACCTCCTCACCTGGGTTTTTCTGAGCTCACTCCATATCAGTATGGATGTCGTTAGGAGGTGTCACGAAATTCAAAGGATACAGTATAACTATATATTGTTTACACTTCAGGCACTTCAAGACAGGCCACTTCAGCTGCACCCTCAGACCTCTAACACCAGTTTGTGATAATGACACAGACCCTAGAATAACTGGCATACCTGATGGGCTCAGAGCCTAATATTTATATCATTTATATTATGGAGAGGGTGTGTTTTTATTACAATTTTAAAGCTTATATTCTGAAGAACAGAATATTTATTCTATCTATGTTAACCTAGCCCAAAAAGGGATACCAAGATGACCATGCTGCAGTGAGCTACATCTTCATTGTGTAGGGTATGGTTTCATCAGTTTTACTCCTCCCTCCCAAGCACCAAAGTTCTGGCTGAGCAGATGAACCAGGGCTGAATTCAAACTCAAGCTGAAGTCCAAACTGCCATGCAGGTGTCAGGGCAACATACACCTTAAAGGCACAGCCATAACTCATGCTTAGAGGAACCAAATCTCTGCAGGTTCCACCCTGAATGGCTTGGGTGAATCCCACACAACCCTGATCTGGGGTTGTGCTCAGGCTAAAGCAGCTCAGCAATGTTTCAGTAAGCACACAGCTGGTGCCTAGGCCAGCTGCACTGGGATACAGCTACCAACAAGCACAGCAAGGAGCTTCCTACATTTCAGTGGCTACTGCTTTAAAATCTATGGAGGGACAAGAATTTCATACAGAGTAGCTGGAATAAAGCCAGGACTGCACCTCTACAAAGCTCTCCTTCAGTACTCCACACCACTTGCAGGCGTGGAAGAGCTCTGAACAGGCTGAAGAACACCTGCACCACAGAGCACACACTGCCCAGGCTGACCTGGCACTAGGAGTACCCCCACCACTTTGTGGGAATGCCTTAGCTGCTACAGGGAAAGCTTCCCCTTCTCCCAGAGCCTTTTGGTCAGAATGACACTGCTCAACTCTTAACCATTCCCAGGGAGGGATTCATATAGAAACACAGAATGGTGTGGGCTGGAAGGGACCTTACAGATCATCTAGATCCAATCCTCCTACATTGGGAGGGACCCGATTGGGTTGCTCAGAGCCCCATCCAACCTGGCCCCTGGAAAGACCAAGTTCATGGGGCTAAACTTGAGGAAGCTGGCATTTCAGATCACATATCTACTTAACATAATCCATCATCAAGCTCCAGTCAGCTGCCTGCTCAGCACACAAGGTATGTGGATTTGTGCTCAGATGCCTGGCTCTCCTCATGGCCTGCACAGTGAACACTCAGCCCTGATGTCTGGAGTTCACTCAGCAAGTCAGGCAGAGGACACAGCACAGTAAATGGCTTACAAGTATCTTGGTCTTCAATATTGGAGCTGGGTAACTGGTAACTGTATCACACAACAAATTCAGAGTCGGTGGATCACTGACCTACAGTGCCTCCCTGTTGTTTTCCTGCACAGCTCCAGGACCAGAATGAACTCTCAGAAAGCTTCATTAGTTTCTGCTGACTTTACCAGGGCACAGTGGTTCTTAATCCAGGCTAATCTGTGCTGGAGGCAGTCAGTACAGCTCCAGCATTGCCAGCAACAGCACTGCATGCCCCAGCACAACACAGCTGTGTGGAAGCAGCTTTTGGCACCGCAGCTCAGGGTGCTGTACACACAGCTGATGGAGCTGCTGCAGCCAACCACCCAGCCAAAAAGGGCACTCATGAAGATGCAGCTTGTACAGAGGGAAGACACATACCACCTCCCAGAGAGTACAGGTGACAAGCTTTTGGCTTAAGGAGAGAAGACACAATTCATCCACCTGGAGACTGCAGCACAGTCTCTTCCAAAAAGTACTGATATTTGCCAGGGTGCCCTGAGGTATTTATACAACAGAAGCAGCGCCCCAGGCAGAGCATTACCCAAGAGAAGAAGAAACTCAAGACACTGTACCTCAGCTCCCAGGGCTATCAGGGTCTCTATGAGCACTGCTGTCTGCACGGTCATGTGCAGGCAGCCGGCGATGCGGGCGCCGCGCAGGGGCTTGGCCGCCGCGTACATCTCCCGCATCTTCATCAGCCCTGGCATCTCATTCTCAGCAATCTCGATGGCCTTGCGACCCCAGTCTGCAAGGCTGATGTCAGCTGCAAGAGAAGGCAGACAGCTGTCAGAGTTTAAATAGCTGAGACCTTGGTATCCGTTCACACACTTGAGGACAGGCATCAGGTGCAACAGCTGAACACCCAGCAACAGCTGGGAGACAGAGTTGGGGGAAAAACGGGCCCTATTCCAGTTACTCCCTGCTTTTTTACTAGGCTACACAGGCTTTCAAACAAGTTGAGACCAGACCCTAAGAGCCTAAACAGCGTGCTGTTGTACAAGCACATTCAGCTGTGATCTAGTGTGCAAACACCCTAAGCCTCCAGCACTCCCTACAGATACTGCCCAAGGGTCTGACACTTCCCAGAGATTTGCTCCCACAGGATTAAGCCCTGCACCTGGAGGGTGGTGCTGCCTGCATGGCAAGAACTTCCCCACACACACAGCACTCCAGGAGCTCAGCCCAGCTCCCCTTCTTATGACCTAAGCTGCAGGCCTTCTAACCCCTTGGATCCACAAAGATTGTTTTCAAGGCACCATAACTACCTCAGTCACAAGTCTACTTTTACCTTTGTAAAAAGGGGCTATAGCAGAAAAGGTCAGCAAAAACTGAACAAAAGGGACAAGCTTCCTTGGGGTACAAAACAGTGCATTCACCCCGGGCAAAGGCAAAAAAGGCAAGGGCCAAGCAGCTCGTGCCTCGGTGCACCACCTGGTGTCACAAAGTGTCCCTCTTACCTAATCAGCTGTTTCAGGAGCTTACAATTTCACTTAAAAACACAGTCAGACACTTTTCATTCACCCACCTAGTGAACACAGGTCGTTTAAAGCACTCAAGAACACCAGGAGCTCTAAGCCCATGTGCCACCTTTAACGCAGAGGAGCTCACAACATCTTCCATCCAAAATCCAGCCTCGGGGCCACAGCAGCTGCTGCCTGTGCTGCAGCTGAGCACAGCCTCACACCAACGGGCACTGGAGGAAGCCCAGGCAGTGCAAGGACCATGAAAACACCCACATCAAGACGGGGAAGTCTCGAACCTTACCCCTCTTAACAGCTTTTTTGGGTTTTACCGGGCCTGCTTCAAAATACACCCTGTAGGATTTCAGGTCCACAGCCTTCATTCATGAACCAGAGCCTCCCAGCCCCTCTGCTTGGACTCAGCCTTCAAAGAACACGCCTTTCTTTATAAAAATCGGGGCGGGGGGAAAGTTGTGGGGTTTCAGGTCTACAAAAACACCCGCCAAAACCTCCGGGGAAGGGTGCACCGTGAGGCCCAGCCCTGCAGCTCCGTCCCCTGGGAAGCCGAAAGCCGGGG